TAATATTTTGGTTATAATAGAAAATATTCATTTTTTGGTGACGTCAAACTCACATTAGTTAGCATGCATACGTCATAAGCTAGATACGTCACCTTTTCCTGGTAAGGCAAACTTTCCCGGTGGCGTGCTTTTTTCATGGATAAACAAACACCACTGCTTTGCACATGGATGCCTTGCCCAAGCCAGGGCTACAAGAGCCGCATTGTTAGCATTGTATAATACTTAAACAAGGTACCTCTGCAAATGAATTATTCTAAGTTATTTTTTTTCTTCTTATTTTAATTTATTTCTTCCGAAAGTGTACTTTCTATCACATATAATTCCACTGTCTTAGTTAGGCCTAGGCCTAGTCTTATGCCTCATCGTCCCCCGCTACACAGTACATCAGCAGCCCCTTCCCCATACAGTACAGTCGTTTGCTAGTTAACAACGTGATTGCACCTTCCTTCCCAGGTGTTCATGTAACATTGACATAATTGTTAGCTAACCAGTTGTGTGTATTTCTTTGTGAAAATGAGTACCGCGGCGTACTCATTTTCACAAAGCCTTTGCATCCCCTCTTGGAAAGAGGGAATCGAAATAATTTCTGCATATCTTCACTAATTGAATTAATCACCGTAATTTAGCTTACACTTATGAATTTAGGGAGCACTTAAAATGTGAAATAATCATTTCACTACCCGACAAACTCTGAACTTTATTCATTCATTAGGCCTAATAGTTTCATATTGCTGTACTATATACTGCAACATCACTGGCGCATGGTAAAAACCAACTGACTGCAGACCATTTCCGGTCACACATTAGCCTACTCCATAACACAGCACCCCCTAGTTCCGTCACCTCTGGATTTTTCGTAGTACAGTATTAGTACATTTCGGAAAGCGCCACCAGCGGCAGTTTATGTCGAGAAACTTTTTTACTATGAAACGCCAAGCAAATAAGTAATATGGAACGCCATTGGTGCCAAAATTGATTTTTTTCCCCAGATTTCTTGCTGATTAAGACAAAGTTTAGGGACTGGAACTTCAGTCTACCTGGATGCTTATTCGAGCGGAGATATAATGCCAGTAGATTTTGTCGCCCTCATTGTAGTAATCAACTGCTGCCACATTAATGGAACACAAAAAGGCACGCGTAGGAAATCCAGTATTTGTAGAGCGGAATGAATATTTATATTGGCAGTGTAACCAAAACTAGGGTCCAAAGTAAAACTGCAGCATAAATTCATCTCTATTTTTTATACAGTTAACATACCGATATATACCGGTAACATAACCAGCCTGATGATGACATAATAATGTCGAAATATTGAATCCCGACACGATGGCATGCATTTCGATACTTTTTGTATGTATTATACTATCTTATCTAGGTCTATCGGTAGGAAAATACACAATATTTATGTTTTCCCCCGACGAATTGTGTTTTCCTCCTTGGAATGTTAGATTTTCTCCTGTGGGCTGATCGTTTGATAATATATATATATATATATATATATATATATATTGTGAAAAATTGTAAAAAGCAACCAAAAACGTTTTTTAGTTATGTTAGGTCCCAGCAGAATGTTAAACCTACAATTCCAACGCTTGAAAAGGAGGATGGAAACCTTACCGCAAATGATGCTGAAACAGATGATGTTTTAAATTCCTTTTTTCAAAGTGTCTTTGTTCTAGAGCCCAAGGGAGAACCACCTGAGCTGCTGCGTCGGAATTAGAATATAGTTGATATAACGGAATAAAATTTTTTCTCTTGATGACGTGTATGCAGCATTAAAAAGGCTAAAGGTAGACAAGGCTGCCGGTGTAGATGGAGTACACCCATATATGTTATACGAATGTGCAGAGGAGTTAGCTCTACCACTGTTTATAATCTTTACGAAATCAATCAGTGAAGGTCAAGTCCCTGAGGATTGGAAGTGTTCTCGTGTGTGCCCAATATATAAGAAGGAAAGAAAAATCAAGCTCAAAACTATCGGCCAATAAGTATTACATCAGTACCTATCAGTACCTTGCAGAATTTTAGAAGGCCTAATCAGAGATAATATAGTTAATCATCTTAATCAGTATAACCTGTTCTATCTCTATGGTATAAACTTATCAGCACTCATCAACATGGTTTTGTTAAGGACCGCTCATGTTTCACCAATTTGTTGTCTTCATTAGAAGAAACAACGGCTGCTTTAGATAGAGGATACAATGTCGACATTGCATATTTGGATTATGCTAAAGCATTCGATAGTGTGCCACATAAGCAATTAATGCAGAAGTTAAAGGCATATGGTATAAATAATAAAATGGCAAATTGGATTAGTCAGGACTTAAAGGAAAGGCAACAGCAAGTTGTTTTGAGAGAAGCGAAGTCACAGTGGCTAATGGTTTATAATGGTGTGCCGCAAGGCTCGGTTATTCGACCAATTTTATTTTTGATCTACATCAACGACCTGTTGGATGATGTTTCTTCATTTGGGCTTATGTTTGCTGATGATACGAAATTGATTGAGTCCTTTAACCAAAATGATCCAATGACAAATAAATTGCAAGAGGATCTAAACAAGATACAGGTATGGTCCGAAAAATGGCTACTTAAATTTAATACCGACAAGTGCAAAATTCTCAACATGGGAAGTACTAATCCTCACATTGAGTATATAATTGGAGGACGCAATATACAGAAGGCTAATGATGAAAAAGATTTAGGAGTATGGACTACAGATGATTGTAAAGCATCAGTCAAATGTTCTAAGGCAGCTGTTAAAGCCATGAATCAACTTTGATTGATCAAAAGAACCTTTGAGTATATTGATTGGGAAGCCTTCCATATATTGTTCAGAACATACATCAGACCTCATCTTGAATACTGTGTGCAAGCTTGGTGCCCTTATTTGAAAAACGATATCCAAAAATTAGAGAAGGTACAAAGACGAGCTACCGAGTTGGTGAATAGTATTAAATCAGATCCTTATGAAACAAGACTCATCAAATTGAAATTTGTATCCGTTAGCAGTTAGAAGATTAAGAGGAGACCTTATTGAAGCATTCAAGATCATTACAAATAAAGAGAACATTGATAGCTCCATCTTGTTTTCATCTACTCCTGCTAGCATCACTCGTGGTCACAAATACAAAGTGTATAACCCGGCTATGAATAAAGGCCAAGAAATCCGAAAGAACTTCTTTAGCTATAGAATCATCAATCATTGGAACAATCTCCCATCCAACATTGTTTAAAGCGACTACTGTAACTATATTTAAAAAGCTATTGGACCAACACTGGTTGAACAAGGATACTGACACCATATTGGGCAGTATGGCATAAATAATTTATAACCCAATGCCCCATTCGGTTGCCGTTGAGCAATGATCACTCATCTTGTGGTGTAGGCCTATGTGTTTCTCATGAATAAATGTTTCATGTAAAATAGAAGGCTAACCTGTAAAACACACTTTCTATTTTAAGCTCTTCAGATGCCATCTAATCCCAAAAAAGTCTCAAATGGGAAGGGAAATTAGCCACCCTCCCAAAACCACCCCAACCACCTATTTCGGTGCTTCGCACCTCTCATTATTCACTCCCGCTTGCTAAATCATAAACCCGTCACTGACGAGATCCAATACGAATGCATGTCGCAAGGACTGTGTCCGAAATCCGTCCTTGTATTACAATTTTTGTTTTTGGGTGCCGTGGCCCATAATCTGTAAATGATTTAGGCCTATAATAATTATGTTTTAATACCAATCATTATATTTATTTATTTTGTTTGTCGCTACATAAATCTGATTAGTTCTCAATCATATCAAAGAAGCAGTAATGGTTTAAAATACTTCAATTGATGGTAGTGTTTAAATTGAATTATAGGCCCCAACTGGCCTACTTGTGCGATGAGTAGATATTTTAACGTGCTTATAAGTTTTAAAGTCTAGTTAGGCCTGCTTTAATACAATATCAAATTCACTGAAATAATCTTTAATTTATACAGCGAAGCCTTGTGAAAAAAGTTAAAGTTATTGAGTTCTGGTTTAACATACTCTTTCTGTGTAGGTAGGCCAACTTTGGGCTGAATTATATCAACCAGCGATACATTAGATTGGTGTAGACGAACATATTAATGTATTTATATCACACTGATACCATTCACAATCCATGTCACATTAAGTAATTGAATGGAAGGCGAATTTAGTGTGTCGGTAGAATTAATTTTAGTTTTGAATTTGTCCAGAGAAGATATAATACGTGGATTTAGCTAGTCGACAAGCATATTTCAATTAAAACAGATTCTGTCGATGAAACCTCTGTCAGCAAGCTGTCCATCGACGAAACGTCCTGTCAAATATCTTCAGACAGGCTGTCTGACAGGGTCCGAACATTATTTATAAGAGGCACAATAGATTACAATACAAACAATTATCAACCATTTACCGATTTACTTCTGAGAAGACTTAGAAGATTTCCATGCATATAATAATTTTTAAAAAAAATCTATATAAAAGTATTTCCTGGCTCATTGCTTCAAATACAAAATATATTCAAAGTGTATTTATTTAACTACAAATTTTCCACTTGTCACTGCCTCAATTCTATTCTGTTTACCACAGTTTTGTGTTTGTAGTTCGAAACACACACTGTACTATCTCATATCACTCAGTCATACTTGTACTAAATATATCAATCAACCATTCAAGCTTTAATAATACCATAATTATCAGTATGGGATTTTATAAATACCGTAAAACCTAGATTTGAAGTTAAATGGACTTATCTCGAAATGAATTCCTTCTTGAATTGAAGCACCCTCTTTAGTTTGCAAAATTAGCCTCCAAAAAAGCCCATGGGCTTTTTCAAGATAGCATAGGTTTTCTTTTTTTTTTTCCGAGATAGTACAGTACATACATTTCCAAACTAAATTGAAAACAAAATTGGTTTATACAGTAGTTTGGGTGATTTAATGCCAGTTAAATACACTCCATGACACAGATTGATATTACTATGATTTTATTTATTGCTTTATAGAACGAATTCACAAAATTTACAGCATTCATTTTGAAAAGAAGCCCACTATTACCCACCTCGGTACTTTGCAAAAGTAGCCTCGAAATGAAGCCCATATCGAAAAAGTAAACCCATCCAAAGTTCACAAGAAAAACAAAAAAAAAACAAAAAAAAAACAAACAAAGCTTCAATTCGATGTTTTACGGTATAGGCATACGGTCGAGAGTCTATAGGCCAAATGTCTGTCGGTGACGCGTCCACCACGAAAATTAACAAGAAATCATAAGATTTGAAATTTATATTAGAATTATACTATTACCAATAATACAATATTTGTTCAATGTTTCTCTGTTAGGTTATTTATTTTAAATAATTTTAAATTGCTCTTTTTTCTGCGCTACTGAGGTCGCTGATACTTATTTCGCTGTCACTCTTTGCATCATTTATTGTTATTCTCACGGAGTTTCTGGTAATATCCAAGTGTTTTTATTTTCCTAGTGGCTCCATGAGAGTAACAGTATATTGTTTCTTGCGTGCTGCGCTGTGCTGTTTTGCTCTGCGTTGTGTTGCGATTTTTTTTCTTTCTACTTTTTCTTTACTTTTTCTATTTGCCTTGGCCGATTTTAATCGTTTTTACTTCCAGGGAACAGAGATTTATTTATTTATTTATTTTATGTATCCTTAAATCAGTGGAGAAACTTTATACAGCAATTTAGTTTGGTTTTTGTTTATCCTGTCTCTGATTTTTGGTATTGTTATTTCTGTATGTTTTGTTATCTGTTAGACGAAATAAATGAAATGAAATGAAAATGTAGTAGAGGAGGCACGGAAAAAAATTATGAGATAATGCAATAGTCTGATTCCCTTTCATTTATGAGGAATTCTCCTTTAGAATCGGCATATCCAACAATTTGCTTTGGGTTAAGTGACTTCCCAGCTTGGATATGAAAGGATAGATTGTCCTGACCATAAAGAGATAATTTAACGTCGTTGAATTGTTTCATTTCTTCACCTTCTATTTTGGTGATGAATGCTTGCAGAAGTCTTCTAAGTCCAGCCTGTTCAGTAGTTTGTCTGACGCCTTCGTTACCGCACAGTGTGATTATCAGTCGTCCTAGAGTGCGTTTGTTGATCTCATCCACTCGAAACTGTTAAAATTTGAAAAGCTGTTTTTATTTTAAAGCAACAGTATTACAAAAATAAGACATTCCCTATATTCTTATAGGCTTCGGATCAAAATATTTATGATTTTGTACTAAAAAGTATTTAATTTCATTAAATATTTCTGTTGTCTTTGTTCTTAAAATTTAAGTATATAACTTACTTTATCCTGAGCTAATTAGTTTTTACTGAATGTTGAATTTTTAATTAGGCTCTTCTCTATTGACTGTGTATCTCTATATGTATTAACTTAACCGTTAAAGAGTCTCCTTGTGACTAACATTTTGTCAAATATATACGTACCAAGATTTCCTCGTATTGATTTGTGTTCAAAAAAACAATAATTGTGTTTTTTACACTCTCGCACTGAATCTTCACACGTTCACCATTCTGAGCACAAAATATCAACTTCAGGTTTGAAAATCCTTGTTTTCGAAATGAATTGGTAAACTTTGTCCAATTTTGTAGGAGCTTCGTCCAGTCTGATGCCGGTGCCTCTGATCCGATGTTATTTAGAAGAAGAGCAATACGTTGTTCGTTTCCATTTTCAGCAAGACTAGACTGCTCCACAAACGTAACCGTTAACTGGAATAACAAAATAGTCTAAATATATTACAATTACAGTACACCTTGTTTGAATGTGTGTTATGAAATATTTTTGGGCAAGTCTACAAAAAATGAGTTGAAAGGAATAGTTTGTTCAGTTCTTCGGTTATCAAATATCATTTCATGGAATTATAAATAACTTCAAAAACATTCTCAAGTAAAATTCATAATGAGAAATTTATTGTCAATTTAAAACACAGTTTTGTTTTGTGTGCATGAAATATAGGCCCATAGACAGCCTCATATGGTGAAACTAATAATATTCTAAATAATTTTAATGTTTTATTTACCTTCGTTTTTACTTCACCTGTTCTGGACATTTTGCATTTTAATGAATATTCATTGACGGTTGCAACGCAAACGTGTTTGCCCGAATAATCCCATCGAATTAATCCATCGCTGCCATTTTGTATTATTTTGTTATTAAGAAAATCTGCACATTTGTAAGCAAACTGTTGTTGTGCTGTTACGCGATCATTTTGGACTCTTCTTGAAAATATTTCTTTAATAAACGACTTAAGTTTATCAATATTGAAAGACTGCTCTTCCATCTGAAAATAAAGTTGAAGAACAGGAGTTTCCTTGTGCGTACATCATGGAGGATATAATTTATCGATTGTGTTAATGTAAAATCTAAATAACATTAATAGGACTTATGTAAATTGGTTAATGTACCTTTTGCCTACAATGTTTTTATTGCGAGTTAGTTAATTGGGAGTGCATTTGTTTACGCGCAGATAAAATCAAATACTCATTATTATTTTCAATTTGTTTAAACTACCTGTATATTTAAGTAAGTTATTCCAGTTAAAAATAACACAAAGATGACCGTAGCATAAGTAGTGGGGGCGGAGGAGCCGAGGGGGTGGGGGTTATACCTTCTATCATATTGTTGGCCCTCCGTAAAAATTTAAGTAGTAACTGAGTATGTAAAATTTAACAGTAAATGACTCACACCCCCCCCCCCAAAAGCATATATATTTGTAACTTAAATAAAATTTAATACATTGAAATTAAATACATCTCCTAGAAGATTATCACTTTGACATAATACTTAGGCCTACTACGAAAACCATTTAGCCTGCATATTGATTAAAATTAAGCCTTACCTTAGACTCAGCCGCAGATTCCGAAGGAGGAAAAAGATATTTTCTAATTGTTTCTAGATTCATTGCTATATAGCTGTAAAAATATGAAAGAAATATACATGCACTATAGGCCAATATAAACTTAAACCGAAGCATTGTTTTCCATTGATTCATTATATTCTGACTACTTTCATGGCATTGTTTATAGGCTTGTTAGTCGCACAAACGGAGAAATTAAGAATGAGCTCATCATGCCATGGTAGATTATTATAAATTACTTTTTCAAGGAAAATTCTACGGCTGGGCATGTTTTGTTTGGATGTATCGCGTCACATAGACTGACTTTTAAATGTGTAAGCCTTATGGGTATATAATTATTGGATAAAAGGGCAGCGGACGACTTTCTGTCATACAGAAGCTGCTGCACATTGCACTGACTTTCAAATGTGTACGGTAAGCCTATACAATATTTGAACACAAACATTATAGTTTTCCGTTGAACTCTAAATATTTTATTCGTGTTAAAATATTAATATGCCTCACTTCAATGCTCATAGGTCTATAAGAGTGTAACTAAAAACAAAATATACAAACATACCGGTACAGAAAATGAAATAGAGTTTTGTGTCTGTGTGGCCTTTACTTGGACGAGTGGTAAAACAAATCAATCCTTTTTAATCTACGACTCCGTTATGAAACATCACACAAAAGACAAGTACTGTACATCTTTATTTGTTTAGGCCCGCCTACATTGGAAACGGTTGTATGTAAACGCTGGTTGGTAGTTGATAATTTTGAAGATAGATAATGTATTGCAGTAACAAATCCCGCGACCAATGAGCAAATCTTGCTTCAATTAGGCCTACTCCGAGCGCGTAATGAGTGATCTATGTTAGTTTGATTGACATAAAGCTACGATATATAATTGCTGGAAATATCGAAAATTTTGAGATTAGCAGTTTGGCAGCACAGTGAGTACATGATAGCTTTCTGTGGATAAAAATAGTTATTAGGCAAAAACATTCCTTTTCTTAATCGTCCAACTCTGTTAGCTAGTTCACTTTTAAAACTAATTTTAAGCATTGTGTGCTTATTAACACTTTTGATTACCACTTTTTATATCTATATTTCTACTTTTATTTATATCAATTATAGATCTTTAGAATTTTATTTATTTGTTACATAACATTGCTTACGTCGAGATTTTTTTTACAATCAGCTTACGTTGGGTGTGTCACTCGGGGAGCTCACTTGCATACCAACCAAACAGGGGGGTGCCGCTGCAACTTCAAGACATGAGACACTTGCGCTACCTACTTTACTGAAAATTCTTATGAACTTGAACAACCATTTTACCAAAATCGCACTGTGCTCTAAAAGGCGACAGGAACAAGGCCACTCAATAATGCCAGAGGGGGCGCAATATTGACTGGTTTTTTTATGGCCCAAAGTGTTCCGTTCGGTCACGAACCAAAGGTAGGCTTAGCAAGGGGCTTACCGATTTAGCACCCAGTCTAGCTTGAAATTCCCGCTAACATCGTAAGGAAAATCGTGGCACTTTGACATAGGATTCCCGCCCCATATTTCTCACACTTGTGCTACCATGTCCTCGAAAATACACCCCGTAAATGCGGCACCTCCCCGTATAGAAATATTTAAGTGTCTCACCCTTATATATACCATACATAGCTGGCCTGGCACACATTAATTCTCTTAATTTTCATGCATTTTAAAATATACATGTTGGTTGTCTTTTTTACCGAAAAATTAGAATTTCAAACGAATTGTATGTGTATAGGGCTTACATATGAAAATGTTTTCGTTAAGGTTAATGTCAATAAATAGGCCTATTGTATATCAGCTATAACCTTTATACCAGAGAGATGTTGAAAGGAAAAATAAAATATATTTATACCCCACAAAGCAATGTTGTATGTTGCTAATTACTTTACGTTACAAGCATTGAATGTATCTTGTACTTTTGTTTGCAGATGCCATATGTAGACTGCGACTGTGAGATAACTGTTGGCGATATTAATCACCTACCTGGTCCCATTAATGAAAAACGCAATCAAGAATATAAGGATAAAGCCATAGAAACAATTTTATCAACACGGTCAAGCACTCTTCGGAATGCAGAAATTGTAATTTCGTTAAAAGACGACCAAGAAGAGTACGTACTATATGCAGGTGGCAGAGCTAATAAATTTGCCATTTTTTATCAAAATTCTGAAGTGGTATCTTATCAAAGAGAAAAAAGTTGGTGGTTAACTCTCAGGGAAACAGCTTCCAGTGTCTTTTCATGGTTTAAAGACAACGCCGTTCCAATCGGGGGCCCATTAATGTTCTTCTTTGCAAAAAAAGCAATTGGCTACAAATAACATGTAAATGACAATCATTTACAAAGTCATGCACTATAATCATAGTTCATATGTTTTAATGCACATAATTCATTTATCGATAAGGGTATAAAATACTTTGATGAAAATCATGAAAGATAGACAATAATCATAATAATAATAATAATAATAATAATAATAATAATAATAATAATAATAATAATAATAATAATAATGGTGATAATGATAATAACTGTAATAATGATAAAAATTTTAATTGTGGTTATTATTATTATTATTGTTATTATTAAAAACAATAATAAAATAATAATAATTATAACAATTGTATGATTTTTCCTCTTGAGTGTGTGGAACCCTAACATTTTTTGTTCTCTTTTTTTGTTTTTCATTATCTTTAAATATTGTAGGCCTTCTATAATTTAAAATTTTTCTGAAAATGAATGAAATGAATGAAATGAATGAAATGAATGAAATGAATGAAATGAATGAAATGAATGAAATGAATGAAATGAATGAAATGAATGAAATGAATGAAATGAATGAAATGAATGAAATGAAATATCGCATTAAAACAAAAAAGCAATGAGGAAAAGACAATTAACAGAAGTCAAAAGGACCATTGGAACAACCACTCCGATTGTCTGCAATATGATACACACTTGAGGCCTCGCTATTTAGCCCCCTCATTCATTAATAGAATTTAATTTTGCTTTCGGTGGTAAAGAAAACGGTCCTTCAAACGACGATAGCAATAATAGGTATAAAGGATAACACTAGCAATAGAGATAGAGTATAAGTCTAGGGTGAAATATAAATTTATTTTAGCGATTATTGTAAGTTGATCGATATAATTTGCAGCAATAAAATGTTTTATTTACTTTGATTGTCCATAATTATTTGCTTTATGTTTTCTAAAAGTCTATGAGTATTTGAGATAAACATTGTCTGGTTGACTGGAAATAAATAGTTTGCAAAAAGGCAAGAATATACACAGCATCATCACATCTCTAAGATTACAGTGTTTTCGCTTTTGCTGCTCCCTGTTTTCTATTTTCATATGTTTTTGAATTGCTATTTTGTCATTTTAAAGCTTTTATATCAATTTGTATTTTCCAAAATAAATAAAATAAAATAAATACTGCGGACCATTTTATAGTCCAAAAACTGTTTGTATGTCCTCCTCACCCGCCCATAACTCACTGAAAAAAATATGTGCAGTAAAACAAAACCATTTTAAAAAGTATTTATTTTTCTTTTTTTTTTCTTTTTCCACTTGCCCCTTTTAATCATTTAAAAAGAAAAGAAGGGCAAACAATCAATTTATTTTTTTAACGGTTCAATAAGGATCAGCAAGTCTTTATCATCATGTAATAACACATTTTCATGGTAATTCTGTTGTAGTTACACATTTACAGTGAAATTAAGGGCACTCGTTTTGGGGATATACGTATCCATTTTATACAAAAACAAAATAAATAAAATAAAAAAATAAACGCCTCTCTCGAATAAAACACTCCTTCAAATACACTCCACCTCAATAACCATTCTCAAATATAAACGACCCGGGCACTTATTTGAATAAATACGTTATATTGGTCAAGGATATTTTACAGTAAAAAAATTCTTGAAATGTCTTGATTTGGTGAACTGTCTGAAAACAAATATCACAGTATCACTATAATAATTATTAGGCATTTTTCGTTTTGACTACGCGGCCAGTCTACTACGAACTAATAGAGCGTAACAGACATCTGCGCATGCTCACAAACCTTACTGGCTAAATCGGCGTTGTGATAGCTTCCGCGACAACCCCAGTTTCTGAATTTGGCGTAGTGGCGACTACCGTAATATTGACCAATCAGATAATCGGATTCTTTGGCAAACTGCTGGTAATTTTTTTGTTAGGGGTTGCAATTTTCATCGCATCCGCGATCGAGCAGTGTTCGTTCAATAATGAATGAATTAATTAAGTGAGTAATTAAATGTTTTATGAAGGCCTATTTATACACATACAATAAATAAGGAATGAATAGTCACAAAATAAAATTAGATAAATCAGTGGATAGTGAAAAATGGCCCAAGGAGGCTCTTAGGCTTAGGCCTAACTAGGCTAGCCTAGCCTTGTCAGGGTGGATTTCGGGTAGGAGAGAACACATATTATCTGGTGCCGCTAGTAGGGCGTCTGCCCTCATGAAATTTTATTTCATTTCATCTGTTTGTCTTAAACAATTAAAATGTAAATAAACAGAAACAATACATACATAAATGTATATATAAATAAATAAGTGAAATATGTAAATGAAAAATGCATAAAAAATACATATATAGATGAAATAAATGAAATATGTAAGTGAAATGCACTGTCGAGTGAAGGCCCTTGCCTTTGTAACATCAAGGCTGGATTGTTGTAACTCATTGCTTTATGGATTGCCAGCTAAGGATATTTCAAAACTTCAGCGAGTTCAGAATGCAGCTGCCCGTTTGGTCACCTTAAGCCCAATTAGGGATCATATCACTCCTGTGTTAAGGCACCTTCATTGGCTTCCTGTAACACAGAGAATTACTTACAAGATTTTATTATTTGTTTTCAAAGCACTTCATAATTCCTCGCCAATGTTACTCACTCCTGTCTCTTATACACATCTAGATGTGTATAAAAACTCACCTTTTTAACTTGTATTTTTCTTAATTTTTTTTCCCCCGAATTTTATTTTTACTGTTAAGCGCATTGAGGCTTTAGCATAATGCGCTATATAAGCCAAAATTATTATTATTATTATTATTTATCTTTCAGAATTCCCTCAATCCTTCGGTGTGTGGGTCATTGACCTTTATCAACTTATAATTTTGATATTCATATTATGCTCATTTGCGTCACGAAGGATTGTTTACCAGCTCGCACATAATATGGTGAAACACACGGACTTATCGCGTCAAACATGTCAATTGCATTGTAAGCTAGATCAGACCATGATTACACGAAGAAAAACGAGCTTATCTTAATTTGAAGAAAGCTACTTATCAACAAAATGAGCTACCTTTTTTTAGAAAACAAACTATTTTCTCAATAACTGTGATTCTCTCAGTATAATATCCGAATTGTTAGATTAGATACCAAAATTATATAATGCCCTCACACATTCACAATTTTTACTACGATTGAGTACGATTTTTAACAGTTTTAAACTCTTGCTTTATCGTAGCGATTCGTACACAAAGTTCAAGTTCAATCGATTTTTTTGTTTTGTTTTGTCAACACGCTATTATTAGGACGCCGTCAAGATGTATTACGGCAGTAATTCGATAGTGCGACGAAATTTTTACGAATCATAACGATAGAGTTACGTCAACGTTAAGATTTGTCACGATGTACTACGAATTACCACCAAGATATAATGACGACATCGTCACTACGTTATAAACGCAGCACGCAGTGGCGTAACGCAAGCTGCGCTCTCCAGAGTCCATAGAGAGGGTTTGGCCAACTCCGCGCATGGCGCCATGTTGTCGCCACACAGCGTGAGCGCACTTGTAACACTGATGCAGCATAAACTTTCTTTCATTGTTCAGTTCACGAGGACAAATAAATGATGGGATTTTAAAATATCATTGTAAATATCATATATAATCATATTTTTACCTAACTTTAGAAGTTAAATTATCAACGCATTTATTATTCTGAGAAGATAAAGTGAGAAAGATTCTTTATTTTTCGTTACGATTATTTTTTTGTTTTGAAAGCCTATTTACCTATGCCTAAGCACAGAAGGCCTCTCTCAGCTTAATAGTAAATGCCTAGTCTAGCCTTTCTAAGGCAGGTCCTGCCTCTCTATCTAGTCCCTATGTAGCTTTGAGTCAACAAAGGAGAAAAGTTATGTTGTGTAGACAGGGTGGCTTGCAATGAATCGACGGCGACAGCATTTCGCTCGCCTGTAAATATATGATAAATCATATTAATACATGAAAGATTTCACGATATTAGGCCTTGACATCTTGGATTATTACTTTAATAAATTAAAGTATTAATCCAAGATGTCAAGGCCTAATATCGTGAAATCTTTCATGTATTAATATGATTTATCATATATTTACAGGCGAGCGAAATGCTATCGCCGTCGATTCATCTGTGTTCAGAAAGATACAAATAAGTCTTACGCCTATTCTTTGTAAATTGCAAATTGTAGTCTACGGTAAAATATACTGAAAATCAAATTTGAAGTTTATATTATTGTGACATTTTTTGTACAACATACATGCCTAAATAATAATAATAAAGAACTAGGCCTAAGTAAAGTAAACTACTACAGTACGATTATTATTATTATTATTATTATTATTATTATTATTATTATTATTATTATTATTATTATTATTATTATTATTATCGATATTTAATTATTTGTATGCAAGAGAATGCCAGAGCCGTAGATAGAGTTTTGGTGGATCTAGTCACATGACTTACACCGGCCAAGTTGTCATCTAATAATAACATTTTTAGGTGACAACACATAAAAATACATAAATAATTTAAATAAAATTAATTAATTGAAAATAATAATGCAGTAAAAAGTCTACATGTACACTCTGCAAGTGGAAAACGGTCCGCGAGCAAGAGATGAATACTTGCGCCTAATAAGATGACGTTATTATTATTATTATTATTATTATTATTATTATTATTATTATTATTATTATTATTATTATTACCCAGTCAGCAGCATGCTGACTGGGTTCTGTTTCCGAGCAGTTTCTTCTTTACCCAGTCAGCAGCATGCTGACTGGGTTTTGTTTCCGAGAAGTTTCTTACCCAGTCTGCAGCATGCTGACTGGGTTCTGTTTCCGAGCAGTTTCTTTCTTTACCCAGTCAGCAGCAGCTGACTTAACTCACTCACTCACTCACTCACCTCACTCACTCACTCACTCAACTCACCTCACCTCACCTCACCTCACCTCAACTCAACTCAACTCACTCACTCACTCACTCACTCACTCACTCACTCACTCACTCACTCACTCACTCACTCACTCATCACTCCCCCCCCCTCTCTCTCTCTCTTTCTTTCTTTCTTTCTTTCATATGTCTAATTTTGGATGTATTTGATACAAATTGTGTTTTTCTTGTAGTTATTAACATATGGGATACAAAAATTGAGGTTAATGTATATGTATGTATGTATATGTATATGGGTTTATATATGTATGTATGTATGTATATGTGGGTGTATATGTATATGTATATATAGTTCCCCGGGTAGAATCCAACACCGACTTTACGCCCAACTTCGCGTACACGAATTTCCCCGGGTGAAGTCCCAGGGTCTGAGGATTGGGTAAGTCGGCCTAGGTCGATATATTTAACAAATGCTCAAAAAATAAAGGAATTGTCTCCGAATTCTGCCGACTTGAAACTCTTAAAATTGCTTAAAACTGACATTGGTCGCCATAAATTAAAACACAAAGCCCATTCTTGTAAATTTCTTTGTTGTTTCGCCGTGGCTAGAGATACGGTACCGTATCGGAACTTCCGATTGCTAAAGGTACGGCCCATACAAACAAATTCTATAGAATTCTATCCAAAAAAAAAACAAACTATAGAATGTCTATAGCATAATTGTTTAGAAAATCTATAGAAAATTCTATAGAAATAACTATAGAAGCCCACTATAAAAAATCTATTAAAAATCTATTAAAACTATATTAAAAATATATTAAAACTCTATTAAAAATCTATTAAAACTATATCAAAAATCTATTAAAATATTTAAAAAAATATAAAAAATTTATAAAAACTCTATAAAAAATATATTAAAGCTATATTAAAAGACTTAAAAAAGAAAGACTTATAAAAAACTATGAAAATTCTATTAAAAGTCTATAGAAAGTCTATGAAAAT